CAGGAGAGATATTGTATTTATTCAGGCTTGGGTGCTAGGTGGAATTTCCACAAATCTAGCACACCTTGTGCCAGTTTCCTCGTTATATTTATACACAAAAATTACAAGGTATTCCACTCCCAGTTACAATGATTGGTTAGTAATTTACATATAGTTATAATATCTGCTGTGTCATTCTCTTCAATCACTGTGCCTGCATGGGGGAAGGGTCTTCACCTGGGCAAGGGTCTTCTTGACCTGTGGGTGTGTTTTTTAGTATTATAGTGAAGGTAGTTCACTTCAGGATACCTTAAAAGTAAGTTCTATTGCCAAGTTGGCCAGCTGGATATCTGTCTCGCCAGGCTGCCAAATAACTCATCCTATACGCAATCAATCCCAGCTGTTAAGGTCCAGAGAATAAGGACTTCAAACACAGCGTCCTGTTCATTACTAGTTAATTAAGGCTAGAGGGAGTTCAAACAACACAGTGTTCTGTTCATTATTAGTTAACTAAGGCTAACATTAATAATACTAACATAAGCTGATTTCTTAGGTCAGGATGCCCTACATCACTGTCAGTTCTTGAGATCTGCCTGTCACTCCAGAAATAGTGACAGATTCTGCCCCTTTATGATTCGATGGCAATAGGGTACACTGTGCACCAGTGTCCACCAGGGCTTTATACTTTTGTGGCTCTAATGTGCCAGGCCATCAAATCCACACAGTGCAATAAATTTGGTTGTCGTTCTCCTCCTCCTGGCTGGAGGCAGGGCCCCTCTAATGTTGAGCATAGTACCTATGATTAGCAGATAGGTTCCTACCTGGACCGAAGGATTGCCCACTGTAGGTCGGAGCAGCCATCCTCCTGGAAGAATTCTTTCTTTTATCAGCTTTACTTTGCAACTCAAGCACCCGTGCCTGTAGGGCTGAGACAGGTTCTCCATCCCACTTCCTCATGTCCTCTCCACAGTTGCATAGGCAAAATCGCAGAAAATCTCAGAATGGGTTCTGTTTCTCTTGAGTTGGTCTCGTAGGAGGGCGTTTTTTCCTAATGGATGCAACGTGGGTCTGTGCAGGGGAAGTATGGGATTTTTCCTCCATCCTGGATAGTTTATCAAACAGTTTCTTGTTTTGCTCAGCTATTTTCTTGGCCATTTGCTCAGTTTTCTCAGTCATTTTCTTGGTGTTCTCAGCCATTTTCTCAGTCTTCTCAGCCAGCTTTTTCACAGCTGCCACAGTGAAGGGATGAGAGAGACTTTCTTCATACTGTCATACCTTGTTAACCACTTCATTTACAGTTGGTGTGTCAGCATCAGATCCTCCCCAGACCATTGTTGACAATGTGTGGGAATACATTGATGGTGCACTTTGTACAAACTTACTCAGCATAGATCTTTTGCATTTCATCAGGGTCTACAATAACTTGCTAGTTCTCTCAGGTACTTAATACCTTTTTCTATGCTGTTCCATTTGCTTGGATGGCATTTGATGTCATCCTTAAAGGGATACCAGTGCCTTACAGCTGACACCAGTCGCCTCCAGAGACTGAGAGTGCTTGTCTTTCTCCTAATCCCTTTATCGATACCTCCATCCTTGGCCAGGTTTCCCAATTGCCTAGCTTCTCTACCATCTTAAGTCTATGGTATCAGCCCCACTATCCCAGCATCGGAGCAACCAGGAAATAAGTGTTTCACCTTCACAACAACTGAAGTCCTTCCTAATATTTCTCAGATCTTTCATAGAGAAGGATTTAACAACTACCTCTACAGCTGAATCCTCCTGTGGTGAGGCTGCCCGAGAAGGACCCTCTCCAGGATCTGTTTTAGAAGGACTCTCTCCCTTATCTGTTTTAAAAGGTCTCTTTCCTTTGTCTGGTTTAGAAGGAACCTCTCCTGGATCTACTTTAGAGGAACTTTCTCCTGGATCTTCCTCAGAACTCTCTCCCAAGCTATCTGGCTTCAGCTGGTCCTTGTCCTAAGGGACAGGGGACTGAGATGACCTCTTTTTCTGCCTCCTGGTCACCGGGGCAACTTGTACCGGTTCTGATGGCGTTTGAGTAGCAGCGGTACTTGTTATAGGAGCAGCTGGAATAGTAACGGTGCTCATTGTTGTGGCTGGAGTAACTTTTGCCAGGACGGGCGGCAATGGGGCTTGTGCCACTACAGTGGATGTGGGGGTGGGGGGGCAGCTGGTGCTGGTGCAGGCGACAGCAGCGTGACTTTCACTGCGGACTGTGGAGTAGATGGTGCAGGTTTGCGGAGTAGATGGTGCAGGTGGCAGTGGCGTGACTTTTACTGGGACAGGTGGCAGTGAGGCCTGTGCCGCTGCAGTGGGGTGGGCAGCTGGTGCTGGTGCAGGCAGTGGCGGTGTGACTTTCACCGCGACGGGCAGCAGCGGGGCCTGTGCCACTGCAGGCGGGGGCGTGGGTTTTGGC